CCGGCGCGGGGCTGCGGGAGCGGCGTCCCGGCCGGGACGGGCCGAGGCGGGAGGGCCGGGGGCCGGGAGCCGTGACAGCTCTCCCGGTGTCCCCGCCGAGGGGTGTTCCCGGTGTGTGGCGCCGCTCGTGCTCGGGAGCCGTAGCCGCGCYGCAGCTCTCGGGGCCACTCCTGCGGAGCGGCTGCTGCCGGCCCCGCTGCTCGCACGGGGCCCGCCGGTACGGGCTGCGCTGTGCGCGCTGTGCGGGGCCCCGCGCCKGAGCCGCGGCCCTTCCCGGCTCGGCCGGGCCGGGCTGGGCTGGGCGGGCCTGGGCTGCGCTGCGCTGGGCTGGCAGAGTCCGCCGAGAGCGCCGGGGATGTCGCGTACAGACATCACCAGGGACACAAGTGCCGAAGGTTTGAGAAGCGGCGTTTGTTTGTTCATCAGGTTCTTCTTCCTTGGGTATAAGCAGTTACTAGGAAAAGTTTCCCGTGCCAGTGAGCTCCCGTAGCTGTTTTTTCATGTGTTTTGGAGCCTGTTTGTGCCCCCCGAGCGTTGTGTGTGCAGGCACGCTGCCTTGTAGAGCTTGGTGCAGATTTCCCAAGAGAATGAGCTCTGTGTCACAGCAGAACTGAAGAGGTTGCTGCAGTCCTGTGTTGGAGCAGCAGCTGCCTTCTTCCGTGGTGTAGTATTATAGTTTGTGATGGACTTTTCACAAATCTCTCTCTGTCTCTTTAAACTCAGATTTCTTGAGCTAACTGTCTGTCACAGAGGCCAGAACTGCTGGTTTGTGGGATTTATCTAAAGGACAAGCCTGTKGCTCGTATACAGGGGGGTGATTGTGACATGGGAGGTGTTTTTGTTGCAGACTCAAGCACTTGCTCTTGTTATATGTTGTAGATCTGGTGGGGGGACCGAGATTACAAACCAAAAAGCTGTGCAATGGCCTTGGAGGCTTCTGGAGTGTGCAATAGCTTGTACTGAGTGCCCACAGAAATGGTGCCACTGAGGCATGGGGTGGCACATCTGCACTGCRTGGTGCTGCTACCCCCAGGAGAGTTCAGGCTGTTGTCCTCTTGGAGGGAGCTGTGCAGAGCTYGAATTTTGCAGGCAGGTAGGTGGAGTGCTGCTCAAGTTGGGGATAATGATGAACTGGAAGTGTCAGGGTTATCCAAAGCRTCTCTGGCTTTTCATTCTGCCTGTTTATATTCAATGGACTGTCCCTGTTCTGAYGTGTGTGATGAAGAGCTGTCAGTGGGGATGTGCTTCTCATCCCACCCCGTGTCCTTTATTTGCTTATCCCTAAGGGACCGTTTCTRTTCCTCTCTTAACCCTCTCTATCACCAGCCCTCATTTCCCTTGGCACTCTCATTCTCTTGCTCCACTCTCCTTCCAACAAGCATTTATCTGTGTGTCTTTCCTTTCTGATGCAGTTTCTAGCTTTGGTGGTTTTTTTTTTTCTTGCATTTTCTTGACCTTTTTTCCAGGTTCTTGTTGAGAATGCCTGTGATGTCACTGTGGTCAGCCAGCTGCATTGGCTGTGGTTGGTCCCCTTTGTCACCCTGCCTGTGGGAACATAAAACCCTGCTTGGCTGCCACTCACATGTGCACAGTATAATCCTTTGAACAGCTGGAYGTTAGTCTTGCCTTTCCAAGGCTCAAATGTTTGAATACTTTTCTGCATCTTCAAAGGATTATGCAGGGGAGTATTTGGAAGCTGGAAGTGCCCTGGTTTTTCAGGTGTATTTGCATCTGTGATAGTGTGTCACTCTTCAGAAACAGAGGCTTGAAGGGAAGGGAGCTGGCACTCTAAAATTCCTTTGTCACATGCACTGTGACAATGAATTTAATAATTGCAGTTGAGGACAGAAGGTCTGAATACTCCCAAGCATGTGCTGGTGAGTGTTGCMAGCAGCCTGCATTAGTAGGGAAGTCTTAGCTTTGCCAAGAGCAGACCAGGTGGCACAGGGAATGGCCAGGTGCGAGCCTAATGTGTATTTCATGGACACATAATACCAGATGTAAAGCTGGGGGTATCTGTGTGTCGTTAGCTAATCAGCACCACTGCCTAAGTGGAAACAGAAAAAGGCGTTGGAACGAATGTTCCTTGTTTTGGATGTGTTTGACTGCTCTTTTTTTTTTTTCTGTGGATTGCACAGAGGCTGCAGGGTGAGGTCACCCTGTGCTAGACGCCAAGGGGACCATGCATATGAGCAGGACTACAATGTACTGATTGTGAGCAGCTTCTGTCGGAGTTCTTCCCTTCATGGATCCTGGGAGAGGGCCTTTCCTCTTCTAGGTGATTGAGATGCTGGCCCACAGCAAGCAATTKCAGGATACAGTGTTTCCCTGGAAGGAAGTAAGCGTGGCTGTTTTGAAACAGCATGACTAAAATCCAGTCCAAACGCATCCATGGCAAGCTGAGGCTGGGTATGAGCTATGTGACTCTGTGAGTCCTGAGGGACTGCTGCAAGTCCTCAGGATATGACTTTGTAGTAGCTCTGCAGGTACTACAGAGGCACAAATCAAAATGGGCATTTGGGGGCTTTTTTTTGCTATTGTTTGAAATATCTTGGCTTTTCACACTAAGAACACAGAAGCTTTTTTTAGAAAATGAAGGGARGAATCGGATATCCTGAACTATAAACTACATGATGAGTTTCTTTTTTCTCCACTTGACTTTGACTCTGCTTTGGATATTTGGAGATTTAAGAGTTTCCATTTCCAAACTGTGGTTTGTTTTTTTTTTTCCCCCTCCCGATTGAAGTTTGAGCTGGTGTGTCTCGTCTCCCTCCCAGTCTAATTTACTGTAGTTAACTTGTGCTTCTGCCTGCTCTTAGCTTAGACCTTTCCCACAATAAGGAAATGGTCTCATTTACTGACTCTTGTCCCCTTGGAAACACCTGGGCACATCTCAGTGAGTGGCACCTGGGCACACAGTGTCTGTGATGTCCAGGACAAGCTATGTGGGAAACTAAGCCCTGGGGCACTTTTCTGTGACGGAAATGAGCACAGCAGCAAAGCAGGGTAGGCAAGTGGTCTCCCTGAAGTCTGTGCACATTAGCTTTCTCTGGTGGTGAAGTGACGCATTAATCTCTGCTGAGGCTTATCAAGTGTGGCTTATCAAGTYCATGGCTTATCAACACGGCTCATGTCATGCATGTGAGCAGCAGGATCTCCACCTCTCCAGTCCTGGTCTTGTCTCTCCAGCTCCAGCTGTAGCAAGTATTTCTTGGGAATCTGTGTCTTTGTGCTGTGTTTGTTGTAAGTAGACCAGGTCAGCTGTAGCTCATGGCAGCGGCAATGCAGCTCGGCTGGGAGAGGGAGTTTCCCACTGCAGATGGTTTGGGAGAGTTCTTGGCTGCTCATCTTGCTGGGTGAAAGCAGAGAAGTCACCACGGGGTGTTTTTAGGGCTTTGTGCACTTTTCCTGGGGGTGGAATATGCCTCTCACACTGTGCAGTTGCAGCCTGTGAGAGATCTAAGCACTGAAGGTAAAGTGCAGAATGACAAAATCCTGAGAGCAGGGACTGCTGGTGTGTCCTGAGACAGGGACTAAGCCYCATGTATCCTCCAGTGAAGGGAGCAGCCCAACACGGGCTGTACTGACCTGCAGCTCTTCCTATCCATCAGCCTTGCAAATGCCTTTCCTGCCCCTTTCCTCTCTAGGACAAACAGTGTTACAGTTTGGAATCTGTTATTTGCCCCCATTTCAAATAAATAGGCATCTGTAAATTTTCTTCCAGATTTAATGTAGCAATTCTAACTAAACTTTTCAATTCCTGCTAGAACCTGAGATGATTATGTGTGGTTAACCTCAAGGACAGACATGCTRTAACTGCTGTTGCAATTTTAATCCGTTGTCACAAAATTACTGATAGACTGAAGGAAACATTCTCCTCCTGTTCCTAAAAAGAGAACAAGGGACAAGAAGCAGCACTGGCTCAGCATATATAAGTACAAACAAATCAAACTTACCTTCTAAAGTACTTTTCTGCAAAAAGGAGAATGCACCAAGCTCGTGTAGTCTTGGCTTGAACAGCGATTTCTTTGTTTGAAGCTTTGAGAGCTTTACTCCTGTTTCAGCTGAAAGCTTTTTGGGGTTAGATTTGAG